GGGGGGGGGGAATCTGAGCTGCGTGTGTGCATGACTATTGCGGTTCTCATTTGTGAAGTTGTGTGTTTGTGTGTGTTGAAGGGGGGTCATAAATAGGCTGGGACCCCTCAGCTGTTTCCACGAGGTGCTGCTAATTTAAGCTTTCTGACTCTGCTCCTATCAGATGAGTGGCAGCAAGACCACCAAAGTGTGCTTTGTGAATCGTGAGAAACAGAAACTAGTACAACTTCAGATTTACCTGACACTTTAAATTGTTTAAGTCAGCATTTAAATGATTTCAAAGCAGTGTGTGTACATGTGATTGGAAGCATACTAATTCATGTTGAAAGAATAACCAGCAAATTGCTGGTCAGCCATATTTAGTTGACTCATGTTGGTGTGAAATAGTTTTGTATCATAATAAGCATATAAAACACGATGTGGCTGTTTATCCATCTGATAGAGGGACAGCAGTGATTCATCTTGTGTTTCTGCTTGACATTATGTCTAAGATTACTTGCTAACATCGTTTAATGTGGTTCATATATGACACGCATTTAAGATTAAAACAGAAGCTGGAAAATGTTTGGAATAATCCTGAGGATTCCTTTTTTTTTTTAATAGAGAAAAGTTTTCCTTGTAAGAATGTAATGTGTTTAACATTTCCGCCAATACTATAAATATGTGTAGTATTGGATATTGGATTCTGCTATATACAACTTATTTGACTCCTCATGCTTTGATCATCATCTAAGATTGTGTGGCTGGTTAATCATTTCACCGTGCTCCTTCTCCAGGTGGTGGAACAGGGTATGTTTGTGAAGCACTGCAAGGTGGAGGTGTACCTGACGGAGTTGAAACTGTGTGAAGACGGCGACATGGACAATGTGATCACCAGACGCTTCAGTAAAGCCGACACAATAGGTAGGCCTGAGTCAATCAGGAGCAACTGTCTATGTCATTCTTCAGTGTCCTCCATGAGTTCATTACATTACATGTTATTAGGCTGAGGCTTTTATCCAAGTGGACTTGCATACACTTCAATACATTCCTACGGGAGCAATTTGGGGCTGGGTATCTTGCTCAAGGACATTTGGACATGTTGACTACAGGGATCAAACCACTGACCCTCTGATTGGTAGATCGCACTTCCAAGATGACTTCCTTGAAGTCAGAGTTCATATACCTTTTCTTCCTACCAAATTATCCCCTTTATGCTGGTTTAAGAAAAATACTAGAAAAATACTTAAAATAGGCAAATTTCACCAGCCATCAGACGAGTATGTCTTGTTGTTTTTTTTCCTGGTGTTTAACGTTCAACATCAATGGCTTACGTCCCCTGTCGGCACCTGAAGCAGACATTTTTTTATGCCTCTAGTTATGCTAAACTTTTCATTTGATCCATTATATATTCACGTCATCGTGTGTTGAAAAGCATTGTGTCTAAAAAAAGAGTGAACACCCGTGTCCACTCGGGTGACATGTTTGCATCACTGTTGATCGGAGTTGTAGAAATTAAATATTTGTGAATCCTACGGAGTCATTTGTTTCAAGGTTTAAATGTAGATTTGAAGCTTTCCCACAGTCCCTGAACACAGAAGCCTTATGTGGTGTTTGTAGCTTTTTGTCCAGCGGTAAAGACTCATTATTTTAAACTTGTTATTCAACTGCTTGCATTTAATCTTTTGTCTGATTTGGGCAACCATTAAAACATGAATCAACCATTTTCATGATTTAACAACACATGATCATGTCTATGGAGTAAAGCGGATTTGTAGACAATACTTGAATAATTGTGTAATGTCTGAACAAATGTGGCCTGTTGATGAAAAAAAGAACTTACACACCATTACTTGTTATTTTACTCTTCACCACTAATAACCATCGCTAATGAATTTGTATTATTACTCTTTTCCTGCAGACATGATCGAGAAGGAGATGAGGAAGCTGTTCAGCATCACTGATGAGAAGGAGACCAGGATGTGGAACCGCTACATGAGCAACACCTTTGAACCTCTCAACAAACCCGACAGCACCATTCAAGACGCCGGACTGTACCAAGGACAGGTAGGGACTTCTGGTTGTTTTATCAGAAACTGTCGCAGGGAGCAGTTTAAAGTAGGGCTGCTCGATTATGGCAAAAATCCTAATCTCGATTATTTGGGTCAATAATTGATATCACGATTATTAAAAACGATTATCCATTTACTCTGAAAACATCCATTTATTGAAAACATTTTGAACAGTATGTTTTTAACAGTTGATTACCCTGAACTTTAAGTATAATTCAACTGAAAAACCAATAAACATTTTTTACAAAATGAAATAAATAATCGTTTTATTTTGATTATGTTGTTTTCATAATCGTTGCAAGCCAAAACCGTAATAGAGATTAAAATACGATTAATTGAGCAGCCCTAGTTTAAAGCTTTCTTTTAAAGACATAAAGAAAAAAGACATGTTGGACAAAATGTCCTCAAAGCAGGTCAAATATGGCTCACTATGTAGACGGTTGTTTTTCCTTAAAGGTGGGTAATTCACTTCAGAAACACTTTTTGTTATATTCCATGGAATGCTCTTAACGTCCCGATAGCAATGAATATATGAAATGCTTTGACAATAAATACATAAACAAATGTCATCTGTGGAAGCCGTGGTACTGTAAAAAGCACGACCAATCATCTGAGCCGGCCCGGCTAAAATGACTGGATGGCCTACCTGCCTGTCAGCCTTCCATCTGTGCACAAACTTATCTCGTGCCCTCATTGGTCATGTGCGCGTTCGTGTGTGTCGGAGGAGGGGCTCTGTGAGGAAGTCTGAAGGAAGGGGCAGATTTTTTTCGGCTGCGTATTTTCAAATTCTAGCGCACTCGAGCTGGTTTCTCCATTCTTACCTCACCTTTTAACTAAGTGGATGTAAAGTGGGGAGGCGTGTGGCGCAGTGGACTAGTGCACTGGTGTTCGGATCAGGAGGTCACAGGTTCAAACCCCACTGCAGTCAGCATGTCGTTGTGTCGCTGGGCAAGACACTTCCTGTGGGGATTGTCCACAGTATTGAAGTCGCTTTGGATAAAAGCGTCTAACAAGTGACATGTAATGTAATGTGAAGCGCTTTGAGCATTCGGAAAAGTGCTCTAATAAATGTAATGAATTATTATTATGATGAAGTGAAATGTGCTCTAGTTACAATCTCCCTTTGTGGAACGCTTTTCCCTTATTTGTACCCTTCAAAATCGCAGGAAAGTGGAGTTTCAGGAAAACCATTATTTCTCTGATTTGTTTAAATCTGTATCCAACAGGTTGTCATGACCTGCAGAGGGCAGTCTAACTAATCTCCATGCAAAGTTCTTCAATCACTTTTCTCAATTCTCTATGACAAGTGTCTTTGAAGTGCGAGTCTCTTTAGGTGGTGCTTTTGTCTTTTTTGTATCATCACTGCTTCAATTATCCACCCAGTTTCTCTCATGGGTGAACACCTAACCTAAGCAAGTATTGTAGGTACTTAAAAGTCTGAATATGGGAGTTGTTAATGCAATACAATGCAAATCTATGGTGACAGAGAAACGCAAAGCCGACACCTAGCAAATTATAAACATAACAATTAAAAAGTTAAAACATGCTTCAATACGGAACAGGTGTTTTACAATTGTTAGATATCGAGGTAATTGATGAGAATCATTGTGATGTTTCACTTTCTCCATATCGCCCTGCCCCAACCATTCCTCCACCTCAAAATCAATCCAACTATTTAGCTTTCATTCCTCTGATCGCACACAACCACTTCTGTTCACTAGACAGCAGTAAAGGAAGCAAACACTTGAAGTACATTTGACTTAAAAGTTTGGAAGCAGATGGGGCCCTACTTTCTCTGTTCTGTCTCCCACAGGTTCTCGTAATAGAGCAGAAGGCTGAGGACGGCTCTTGGCCCCGAGGCTCCAAGGCACCCAAGTGAGTGAACGCCACCTCACCTGCCTCCTTCGTTGTTGACTGAAAGACAATGTAGCCACAGAAATAAAAACGCTATTTCCACACTGTTACCAATGCTGATTCGCCTTCGGGGAGCTTCCTGAAAACATCTTTAAATGTACTCCTCATCCTTAATTGCAAAATGTAATCATGTACATTTTAAAATCTAGTTTCCCTGCTATGCCACTAGAGCACCTCATCATCTTCAAAGATGTCCTCTCTATGACTTTCAGTCTTTTGCTTGACCTTGAGTTGCTCACATATCCCCTCCCACTCGTTTCTGAATCATCTCAGCTTTTATTTTGTGGACACTTTTTGTTGGGCACACCTTTCTGGAACGGCTCCTTATTTTTCCACTACTCTAACTCATGATCTATTCTTTATCTTTTGAAGGTCATCTGGTGCTTCCAATCTCTGTGCTTTGCCAAAGATCTCGCCTTCATCTCTCACAAACAATCATAACAGCAGCTTCAACAGCAGGAAGTAAGGCTTAGTTGTGGGTGAATTAGCCGAGGGGGGGAGGCGGGGTTTGCATGCCAACAGCCAGAGGATAGTGTGTAGTATTACTCAGCAAAAAACCTTCACATTAACTGGCATTCTTTATTTTAATTCCTGCAGAAATTCCTTTAAAAAGAGGGAACTTCCTTTCAATTTGCACTCATTCCTAATTCACTTCGCGAACAGAAACCAGTATGAAGTTTGAAGAACTTCCTCATTCAGGTCTATCTCTGCCTTTGGTTGGTCTAAATGCTATCTTGTGATGAAGCACATTCAGCTTTAAAAGCATCAATCAGGGAGGGGATTGCTTGCTAAGGGGCGGGGGGCTTACGAAAGATTGATCTTCTTTGAATTTTCTCCAGCGACAGCAGTGCTCTCTATAAGTGGCCGGCCGGTGCCTTACTCAGCATTTCACTATGCTAGTTGATAGTTTGCATTTGATATTCTACCTCACTTATTGATAGCTCTGGCTCGGGCTGCATGGTTATGGCTAATGGGATAATTATTTTACCCATTAGTGAGGGCTAATAGGTCTTGCTTACACCCTTCTGTCTAATACAACACCTAGTTGTAAATAATATTGAAATAATGAAAACTATTAGCTTATTTTTTTGGTGCACAACGACAAGCCTGAGAACCGCTTGGTTTGTTATCTAATTAAACTTCAAGCAATATCCAGATGTACTTTAATGAACTGATTATTTTTCATATTCCAATTTAGGATGATTTTCTTTAATCTGATCCATGATTGATTATTGCTAAACCTATGTGAGTTTTCTTGGAAAAAGAAATGCTGGACCCTCTGGAAATATGCCTGATGTGGTTACACACTACCCTCCATAGTGCTTTTTTAGCCAATCAAAAATGCGCAAAGGAATATTCCTGGTATCAAAAAAGGTTCAAGGAAAGGCCTATTTCTACTGTTAACTTCACAACCAAATGAAAAATAAAATAAAAGTCAGCATAATAATTATTCGAAGTTGCAAACATCCTGATTTGTGCATCTTTGTTGGTGTTTGATAAGCCTTTAAACTCATAGATATGTCACTCAAACTGGATTAAGTCAGTCCTGGATCCTGGGTAAGGAAATTCAAAGTATAGGTTTGTGTTACTGTCCTTCACGATGTTAACACAAGAGACAGGTGAAGCAAGTCAAACCAGAGAAGCATCTCAAAAATCATTCGGATAGATCTCCTGCTGTGCCAAAATCAATCACAGCTCATTTCTTTCCTCTGTTCAGTTTCCTGTAAATGTCAGTGTAGCCTACATTAAGGTTTGTTGCTAAATCACGGGGACCTCGGGGCTCCTTCAGCCCTGATAGAGAGCACTGCTCGACTGTGGGTGGAGCTCTCCCCTCTGCTGTCTACACCCCATCCACCTTTATGTGTGTGATTTACTGCATGCTGCTGGAGAGTGGATAATGACACTCTGCTGCGTTGTATTTTCCCTTTGATACCGTTGGAAGGCAGAAATAATAGCCACAAGCTCAGCCACCCTGAAAAATCCATATTGATCAAGAAGGAGAGCCGGCCGAGCCGCTTCTTCCTGATATCTTGGTGTACGGTTACACACGATCATCCCACTGCACTGCTTCATGCTGTTTGATAGCAGTGGCATCTTCTCCTGGGTGACTTGGGGCAATTGGATCTTTACTCCTAGCAGCTCTCCTCCCTGTCCCTGATTCACTGTCGTGCCAGAGCTGTCGTTTCCTCTGAATTATGCATGGGGGCTTTTTTTCTCTTTCCCCCCCCCCCCTTCATATGAAGTCTTCCCGCATTACATAACACTTGTGTTTTACGGTTTTTGGCCTGGTAGCAATACAGTATGTTTTGCGAGGCTGTGTCACCTAATTCTGCCCGTCCCCCTAACCTCCTCTCCCCCCCCNCTCATTGCGATGCACACATTCCGCAGTGTAAGTGACCTTCAGAATACATTTCATTTGCTCCCCTTCACACCCCTCTGATGAAACCCTTTTTTCTTCAGTTAGATCGTAGTTTATTTATGTAGCCCCTGCCCCCTTTTTAAAAAATCCAGACAGCCTTGGCATATTAAAAAGATAAAAGAGGGACTGTGACTGTGTTTGAAGGGGCAGCTAACAATGTCACAGAGAGGAGAACAAGTGTGTGAAAGAGGGGGCTGAATGAGCATGTGTTAGTGTGTGTGTGTGTGTGTGTGTGTGTGTGTGTGTATGTTAAAGAGGTAGAGAGACACTAACAGGCCTGTGCATATACTGCAGCCTCAGCTGGATGCAGTGGATCAGCTGCTCCCTCCATCCCCATCTCATTTAGCTTCTGTTCCCCCCCCACTGTCCGCCCCACCCCCCTATTCTCTCTGCCTCTCCTCCCTCTCTCTGTGCACCTCTAGCTTTCGATAGCGGTAGTCTTGAGCATCCTTTGCTGCTGCTGCTGCTGCTGCTGCTGCTGCTGCTGCTGATGCTGCTATAAATATCTGCCGGTAGCCGTAGAGCGGCAGAGAGCAGCAGGCAGGCCAGAGGGAGGAGCGGAGACCAGTGGACGGGACAGAGGGAAGGGATCTGAGGCAGAGAGGATAACAAGATAACAGGCGGAAAATGAAGCAGGGGAGAGAGGAGAGGAGGGGAGCTGCTTAGATAGCCGTCAGATAGAGGAGGAGTGTGTGTTTACTGCGCTCTGTGGATTGATTATCGGCCTGGCTGGACTTGGAAGTCAGATTTAGTTGGTTTTCGGACTACATCCAAACAGCTACTGGGTTCAGCTGAGGTGACACCAGGACTTCAACCTTGGAGACCAAAGGTGGACTTTTATTCCCGGGCCTATAAGATCCAGACTTTACGTGCACCGGGGCCCAAACTGAACCCTACCGGGGCTTCAGTTTCCAGCTGACATGTGGGCCGGGGCGGGGCTGAGATGCCATGCTCCTGTGTTGCTGGTGGTGCCTGAGGCCTGAGGCGGTGGAGCTGGAGAGCCGGAGGGTGGACCACCGCGTGCTGAACTGCGAGGCCAGCGCCTCCACCGCCATCACTGCTGTGTCCCTAGACCAGTGGGAGCCAGAATCCACCAACAAGCCCCCCCAGAGGTCTGCTGGTTGGAGAAGCTTTAACTTTCCTGTGATTACCCAGGAAGCCAGAGAGCTATTTTGGAGGCGGGGTTTAGGTTTTGGTTGTAGTTTGGTGTTCTATTGAAGTGGAAATGGTGCAAACTGAATGGGATGTTCCTTTTATTTTCTCGTAGCAATTTGACAAATCTTATCCAACTGTATATAATGTGCTTTTGTATGTTTATTGCACAGTGTGAAGAATTCAAGCTATAGTCTACCATCCTACCACCCATACAGCAACAGCTATGACTACACAGACCAGAGCCGGCAGAGTGAGCGCTCAGGCCTCTGTGGACTCTCCAACCTGGGCAACACCTGCTTCATGAACTCTGCTGTGCAGGTAAGGGAAACTTTTCATTTTGAAACAATCTGTATATGCAAATATAATGACAAGTATTTCAAACAAGGAAAGGATGTGATGGCATCTGCTGATTATTGTCCTCTCTTTGCTTTCGCAGTGTTTAAGCAATATCCCTCCACTGACGGAGTACTTCCTTAAGGACAAGTTCACAGAGGAGCTGAACGAGGACAACCCACTGGGCATGAAGGGAGAGATTGCCAAAGCCTACGCCGAGCTTATCAAGCAGCTGTGGTCGGGCAAATTCAGCTACGTCACCCCGAGGCCTTTCAAGGTGACTTCCTGGAAAAACTGAGAATTGCAAAATGTTGGGTTCATTGTTTTTGTTTACACATTTTTGGAAAGGAAGGGCTGTAAAAGCAGTGTCATTGTGTCAGACCGGAGTAAGGCAGTTGGAGCAGGAAGCAAAAGTATGTCTTTGGAGAATAAACAACACTATCATTGAAAGATATACACACATGCATAGAAGTGTGGGGGTTAACTCAAAGGGTCTGGTGATAAAGGTTTACAAGAAATGTTATCTTTTTCTAAAATAGGGTGGAAAATATCCTAGTTTTTTTTAACTATCATTCTATTTAAAACGCTTCCTCCATTCCCCCTCTGCAGACCCAGGTGGGCCGCTTCGCCCCGCAGTTCTCGGGCTACCAACAGCAGGACTCTCACGAGCTTCTGGCCTTCCTGCTGGACGGCCTCCACGAAGACTTGAACCGCATCAGGAAGAAGCCCTACATCCAGCTGAAGGACGCTAATGGCAGGCCTGATAAGGTGACAAGGAAAAAAACTGGATGCAAAAGTGTTAATTTGTTGGTATAAGTTTCTAAAAACATGGTAAAAAGTTTAAAAAAACAATACATTATAACAAATATCATGTTTGTGTGTTTTCTGTTTACCTCAGGTGGTGGCGGAGGAGGCATGGGAGAACCACATCAAGAGAAACAACTCCATCATTGTGGACATCTTCCACGGCCTGTTCAAATCCACCCTGGTGTGTCCTGTGTGCTCCAAGGTCTCTGTGACCTTTGACCCTTTCTGCTACTTGACGCTGCCTCTGCCCATGAGGAAGGAGCGGACACTGGAGGTCTATCTGGTCAGACTGGACCCTCTGGCCAAACCCACACAGGTAAGATGGGAAACCCCCTGAGCGGCACTACATCTGGCTCCCTGTCGGTCTGATCTCATGTGATGTGTTTCTGATTTTAGTACAAGCTGACTGTACCAAAGGTGGGATCCATCTCTGACCTGTGTATCTCGCTTTCAAACCTGACGGAGGTGCCTGCTGAGAAGGTATAAGCATCATCTGCAGACAAGATAGTTGTTAAACTCTCCCTGCCTTCCTATCTTTATCAGCTAATGGAATAGAATACCAACAAGAATCACCAATTAGCTGACATGCCTACATCTCCAAGAGTCTTCTCACTACTTTCCTCCTTACCCCAGATGATTGTAACCGACATCTACAACCACCGTTTCCATCGGATCTTCGCCACCAACGAGAACCTCAGCAGCATCATGGAAAGAGACGATATCTATGTGTGAGTGTCAATCTAGCTTAATCCGTCATCTAAAGTTTGAAACGGCATAAAAGCCCATAAAATAAGATATAATGCGTGGTGTAAATGATCTGGCTGTTTTATCATTGGTTTGAACACTTCCCAGATAAATTCAATTTAGTGTTTTGACCTTATTACTGATGTTTTTTGTGAGGTTTAAGGCATTGAATCATTGGCTCTCCACCAATTCAAATAGCTTTAATTGCCAAAGATATAAAAATGCAGAAGTTAGGATTTTCCTTTTTACTCTTGCTGCAAAAAGGAAACATTTTGTGTTTATTTCTAAGCCTATGTAGCTTAGAAATAAAGGCTTTTGTGCATGTCAATGGTCTGCAAAAGGCTAAAATCCCCAAAAGGTGAAAAGAAGTGCTGGGGCACAGGCAGTACGAACATAACATGTCACAGTAGAGGCACTAAATACAAATATGATCCAGAACATTTGCATAATAGGGCCACTTTATTTTCTAAGAGACAGGCAGCTAAAGGGGAATTCACATCCCTTCTTCTAATGTCACTAATCGGCTCTGCTAATGCATGTTTAAAGTCACCCATTTTGAATATTACCAGGTGATTCATTCTGCACCACAATGCTGACCCCTCCCCTGTTTGCAGATTCGAGTTGGCTGTGAACCGGGTGGAGGACACGGACCACGTGGTGATCCCTGTTCACCTGAGGGAGAAGTTCAAACAGTCGGGCTACAACCACACCAGCACGCCTCTGTTCGGACAGCCCTTCCTGCTGGCCGTCCCCAGGACCCTCAGTGAGGACAAACTGTACAACATGCTGCTGCTGCGCCTCTGGTACGTCCCTTTCTTCTCTCGTCTTGATCGTAAGGTCATCAAATGGACACTTATTGCCTAATGCTGGTGTCTTGTACAGTTGGGGGATTATTTATATTTTGATAGTTAAACCATTTCAATAGAAATAAGAGTATTATTTTAAACACTAATGTTAGGAAAATATCACTCGACACCAGGTTGAGAATCAATAATCAGGTTCTAATTTAGTTAAATCCCATACAAAGGATATGGGTTAACTCACACACATGGGGTATGTTGCTCACCGGGGAAGCCAAAAACATCAGGCTTATATAGTCCAAAACACGGAGATAGATAACAACAAAGTCGTAAATCGAGGTGGCGCTAATATCATCCGTGGGTGTCGGAAAGGTGTCGGGGACATCTTCTGGAAAGAGTCACGTACTTCCTTCACGCCTCATAGAAATGAGATATTTAGGAGACAACAAGTATGTGTCTTCTCATAAATATCAANATTATTGCACAGGTGTGCCTTAGGCTGGCCACAATAAAAGGCCACTCTGAAACGTGCAGTTTTGCTTTATTTGGTAGGGGGTCTGGGGGGGTCCGAAAACCAGTCAGTATCTGGTGTGAGGGTTA